TGAACCCCACCCCATTCCCATCCTGCAGTCTGAAATCCCAGCAGCTCAGAATGTTTGGAGGCAGGGCCTTTAAAGAGGTCATTAAGGTGAAATGAGGCCACTAGGGTGGGCCCTACAGCAACATGCCTGGCGTCCTTGTAAGACAACACTAGAACACAGGCACACGCAGAGGCAAGGCCACACGCGCACATGGGGAGAAGACGGCATCCAAGAGCCAAGGAGGGGGGCCTCAGGAGAAACGACCCTGCTATTTGCTCCCAGACTTCAGCCTCCAGAACTGTGAGAAAACACAGTCGTGCTGCACAAGCCTCCCAGACTGTGGCGTCTGGCTACGGCTGCTCGCGGACACCAGCACACCTGGCCACCGCGTTCAGCAGAGGGTACTGCTCCCTGGGACAGCAGGTGCTCCCTGGCCACTGTCCCCTGCCCTAGGACCTTGTCTGGTCAGAGGTGCTTCACACTGAGCTTCCCCGTTATCCTTCACCTGTGTCACCTCCCCCTCCTGCCGGCCTAAGCGCAGATGGGCCACCGGTCCCCCAAGCATCTGTCGCCACCACAGCCGCAGTTCACTACGCAGGGGCAGAACTCTGTCCCTCTTTCCCGTGGTTCTACTTCCCCCATCCCACAGGGAGACAGGCCGCACTGTGTGGTAGTGAGCTCCCTGTCCTCACTGGGTGTGAGGAGTTGCACGATAAGGAGCTGCGTATGGGTTGGAGGGAGGATGCTGACGAACTGAGCTCCAAGGGAGGTGGAAAGAGACTTGGATTCAAATACCAACTCCCCTGCTGACGTCGTGGCCCCAGGTGAGAGGCCCTAGCCTCTACACACTTCTGTGTCTTCACCCGGGAGATGGGGTCGGTACAGCCTCAACTGGGCTACTGCCGAGGTGGTTCCGGGCATGGGGTCTCCTCCCCTTGGCAAGTCCCTTCCCTCTGCGGCCTCAGTGCTCTCCCTGTGGCAGGAGAGCGTGGACAGGCTTTGACAGGGCTGGGCGCCTCTGCCTGGGGGGGCTGCTTGGGGGGGCTGCCTACAGAGAGCCAGAAGTCCCCAAATGGACTTTTCTGCCTTCATCTTGCTACCAAATTTGACCAGGGACATCCTTAGGGAGTAGAAGAGGACTCAGTGTCAAAATATGGTACATCCTAGACTTGAACTTGGAGCTGGGGGGGCAGGAGGCTGCAGGCAGCAAGGAAGGGGTTAAACATAAAGCAGTTCCTGAAAGGATGGTTAAATCAGGGTCTCAGGAGCTCTGAGCCCAGTGCTGGCTGCCCCTCACTGCCAGGGGACACAAGTCGCTCAAGAGGATACAGGCCAGAGATGGTATCTGCTACCGACTGCCTGGCTTGGTGCACCCGCACTCCCCCCGAGTCACCTGGTGGGCTCCAGAGGGACTGGCCTGGCCTCTGCTGTCCTCCCCACCCCCCACCCAGGGGGCCTGAAACAGAAGAGGTAGAGTGGACCTCGTCCAGAAACAGCCCCGCCTCCCTGCGGACACCCTAGCCCTCCACCGATGTGGAGAGGCTGCCCCACCGGGGCATTCCTGCGCGAGCGGCCCACACCCTCCTCTGTGGGGTGGGGGGTGGAGGCTCAGCTGTCCCCTGCACTGAAGTCCTGCCAAACACCTGCCGCAGGCGAGCCCCACAGTCTCTGGGGTGCTGTGCTCCGTGCAGCGCCGCTCCCATCCAACCCTCCCTCTTCCTCAGGGTCAGGACAGGGGTGACCTTCTCCGTCCAGGGGTGAGAGGTGGGAGTCAGAAGGAGAAGACCCTCTCCCAAGCTCAGTGGACACCCAGGTACCGCCACAGAGCCAGATGCACAGAGCAGGCCCTGGGGACCAGCAAGGCAGCTTTATACCCTGGTCTGCCCTTGACCGGCTTGGCAACCTTGGGCAGGATACGTAACTCCTGCAACCTGCAGCTAACCCGTCTGTGCATAGTGACAGGGCCCAGCCCACAGGTGGCTCTGAGCATCAGATGAAAGGGCCACTCCCCTTTGTGCTGGTGCTGTGGCCGGTGCATGGCAGATCTAGGCCTTCTCCCTTAGCTGTGTCTGCAGACCCCTGAGACGCTGGCCACAGTCACCACCGACATGTCTGAGACTCCTGAGGACACACCATAGGCAGCCCCTCCTCAGGTTTTGCTGCCTCCCCCCCACCCCGGGCGCTCCAAATGATTGATTCACCGAATCCCCATTTTATAGCAGGGAAGACTGAGGCCCCAAAGGATGGCATCTTGTCAATGGATTTGAAGCCAGTAGTTTGGCTCGAGAAGCTGCATTCCTCACCACTATACTAACCTGTCTCTCATGAGGCTTTGTAACCTAGTGCAATGGGTAACAGTACTGCTCCTGGTTTGTAGATGAGGAAACTAAGACAGCAGGAAGGTAGAATAATTTGACCAAGGCCATACAGCTACAAAGGGAAGATCTGGGCTTTGAATCCAGGCAGCCCGGCTCTAAAACACACACGCTCCCCCATCGCATCCTGGTGGTCACTGCCTTGCCTGGCCCAGGACCTCTGCAGAGAGAAGGCAAAGCCGCCGTGGGCGCCACAGCACCCCGAGACCATCACCCCTGGCGCCAGGGCCTCTCCTGGGAACAGCCGAGCCCCTCCCTCCCAGGCCCAGTTTGAGCCATCTTCTGAGCACCCTGAACTCCTGGGGGCTAGGCGCCCTTACCCCAGCTAACACATAGGGAAACTGAGTCCCAGGGCCTTGCCCACAACTACAGAGACAGATGTAGGCCTCCCACTTCCCTCTCTTGACCATTAGTAAAAAGAAAATGCTTTTACCTTTGGCCCCAGAATCTAGAGCCTTCCAGAAGGGCTACCAGCCCCAGTCAGGCCAGGCCAGGGAACGGGGCAGAGGGCCAGACCTCAGCCCCTAGACAAGGGCTCCATGTCCTTGCTGGCCAAGCTCACCTTTAACCAGCCAAAGGGCCCTCTGGGGAGAGGAGGAGGGCAGGGGGCAGGAGAAACATGGGAGCCCCTCCTCGACAGCCCCTGTCCCCTTGCACTCCCACCTGCCGTCCCAGGCCCCCGCTGCTCTGACCAGCTGCTCCCCTCCCTTCCCCCACAGCCGACCGGGTCCCAGGCCCGGTCTTCCCACACCTCCTGCTTCTTGCCCTTAATTACTTTACCTTTTATTTGCCTGGCACTTTATGGCACTTTATAGTTTGCTAAATGTTTTTACATTTATCCTCGCATTGAATCTGCACCAGGGAGAGACGGGGAGACAGTAAAAATTCCTTCAAACTGCCAAGTGTTCTTGTTAAAAATGCAAACATCCCCAGCACAACGGGGCGATTAGGCTGGCAGCTGTGGAGCCTCAGGAGGGACTCGGCCCACCCTCTGCTCTCTCCCCAGCCCCTCGCTGTGTGGGGACGGGTGTGGGAGGAGAGGAGTGCTCTGGGGGAGCCTCGGCAGGTGGGGAGGGCCCGGTGGGGGGCAGTCTGAGAGTGGTGGGCCCCTGGGAGGGGGAGAAGCACCCCCGGAAGGGGCGGGAGCTCGGGGGGTACGAGGACAAACCATGAACCTCGCGATGCTGCACACGGAGGACGTGCTCGCTCATGGGGAGCCCTCAATTCCAGCCCCGCCGCCGCCCTCCTCCCAGCTCTCTCTGAAATCTCTGGCTCATTCTGGAGTCCGCATGGTCAGAGGGAGAATGTTTTATCTGAGCAAAGGCCTAAAGACTTCCAGAGTGGAGTCATCAAAGCCCAGTCCCGGAGAAGGGAGTGGGAGACAGGTGGTCCAGGGGGAAAGGGGTGAGTGAGGGCCATGGGCTGGCTGTCCCTAACCCAGCTCTGCCAGTGGCCCGGGGCCCCAGGACCACACAGCCCACCCTGGACTGGCTTGGGCTGGGAGGGGACCCCCAGAGGCTGGGTGATGGCACCCTTGAAAGTGTACATTGTGGGTCGTGGGGGTGAATCGGGAGCTCCTGTGTGGGGAGTGGTCTCCATTACCCCAGCTGAAAATATGGGGAACGGGCCAGACCGTCCGGAGTTCCTCCCAGCGCCAACAGTCTGTGGTCCCGAGACCAATCAGAAAAACGAGCCCACGGCCAAGCCCAAGAAAGGGCGTCTCAGGGGTTCGCAGGCGAGGCGTGCGCACTTCCGGAGCGGCCCCACCCCACGCCGCCCCGCACACGTTCAGAGGGACCACAGCAATGGCTGGAAGTCACACGCCACGCTCACGCCGCGACCTGAGCTGCGGCTGCCCGTTCGACATAATGTTGGGTTTCGTAGCTAAATTAAACACGTATTAGTTTCAACACTGCAGCTTTCTTTTCAAATTTCAGAGCCCATCGGTTTGCTTCCAGCTCAAAACATTTTCGTTGGCTGTTGATGAAAGCTCGTAGGCCCCAGATCTTGCGTCTATGTTCCCAGCACTCTGACCCCGGAGAACTCAGGCAGCGACCCTGAAGAACCCAGCAGCGGGTTTACTAGAAATGCTGTGTCTGCAGCACAGAGGGGGTATCTCAAGCTCCACTCGAGGCCACCTCCACCAAGGAGCCCTCCGAGATCTCTCCAGCTCCACAGAATCCACCCCCACCAGCCTCAGACCACGCCCATCCGGGACGCGTATTTGGCAGCAACAGCACACTCGCAAGACACCCCCTGGGCCATTGTGCTGCGTCCTCTGGGTCTGTCCTTATCACTATTGAACACTTTCACATATTTGCTTCATCTGCCCCCGCTGGACTGAGAGCTCTCAGAGGTGCCTCGGACCCCTCCTCGGCCTCCCCTCTGAACCCAAGTCTCTGGACAGCAGCCCAAGAGAACCGAGGCCACATGAGCGGGGCCTGTGCGGGGTGCAGAGGGGCTGGAAGCCACTGGGTCCCACCTACCCTCCATGCCGTCCTCGCGATGCCCACCGAAGTTGTCGTAGGAGTCCCAGCGGATCAGGGGGTCAGAGGTGTTGTAGTCCACGGACACGCTGGGCCCGTTCTCCAAGTGCTCCATGCCTGAGTGGGGCGGGGGAGGGGGCAGGCGGGGGGACAGTGAGGGGAGGGAAAAGAGATCAGCAGCTGCAAAAACAGAGGAAGCCAGCAAGCTCCCCCAGGACCTCCCCGAGGGACGTCTCATGTTCTTGAGCACGGCGGGGCGGGCCCAGTGGCTTCAGCTGGATGGAGAACCCAGGAGTCTGGTTTCCTGCATTCTTGAAAAGGCTCACACCAGGTCGTAGGGGCAAATCAGGACAGGGCACCATACCCAGGACAGGGAATGAAGACCCCCGAGCGGAAAGCGGGGAGGACCCCCGGGCTGGGTGTCTGCCTGTTTCTCTCCTGTGTCCCTGGGGCCCCTGGGGCAGTGGCAAGAAGCCAGAGGGTCTGCCCTGCAGTCAGGGGAGGGGAGGGTGGGACAAGCATGTAACGGGCTGCATGGGGTCAGGGGCAGTGAGGAAACCACAGCCTTGACATTGAGAAGACACAGCCTCTAAAAGGTCATCCCAGGCATGCCCCTGCCCCTCTCTGAACATGCCCTCCACTCCAGACAGAAAGCCCAGGGCAGAGGCAGAGTCTCCTACCCACCCATGGAAAGCCCAGCTCAAGGACAGCTCAAGGACAGCACAGCTGCAAGTCAGGCCTTTCAGGGCGAGTCACCTTCCTGGCCTGGCAGTCCTTTCTTGGTCTATACAGAGTCCCTCTGCCTTTAACCCAACTTCATCTCCTCCCATTTTGTTCTCAAATAAGATGGAGAACAACTGGGCTCCACATATAACCAGTCTAGAGGCTTAAAGGCTATTATTAAATTGGCCTTCAGGTTGAATCACCTCAGTGCTCAGAAATACTCCTCATCCATCCAGCACCTTTGAGTGTCCCCCCTGGCCACTGCCCCCATCTGCCAGGGCCCTCAGTCTCTGAATATAACAGGCTGATGACCTAATAAGACCAGAACAGTTTATCCAACCCAGCGCCTATCTGTCTGCTTTTTTATTTTTATAATACAGAGATTAAGTCACTGGTTCATGTTTAGCTGGGGGTCTACTCTGAAATCCAGATCCTTTACTGATAACCTGCCTCTCAATCACAGGTAAGTTGATAATTGTAGGGCAGACCAGTGGGAAGATAATGGGGATAGGGTGGGCACAGGTCAGGATGGAAGGAAGGGGTGAGAAATGGAGTCCAGCTTGGCTCATACCATGAATTTTCTCCGGCCCATAAGAAAATACAAATTCCACTTTGCCATATTCTGGAAATCGATCATCTGAAAAAAGAGAAGGAAAAATAAAAATGGGCAATGAATTCCCAAAAAGGACTCCATAAAAAGTTTTCTTCTAGAAAAAAATTACATAATATGTGTGTCCATAGTTAATAATATAATAACCAATGCATATATAATTATACACATACACATGAAATTATATATGTACAATGAATAAATCTTCCCACCCCACTCCCAGCCTTCCTGCCTGAGGTAAGCACGTCTAATCATCTCCATCTTTATTCTGCTAGCAATTTACCTCTAAGACCATTCCAGCCTCACCTCTCTCCCAATTCTCTCCCGCTGTCACTAAGAATACCCCGAGACATGCTAGAGCATGTGGCTCAGAGAAGATGGTTCCCATGTCCACTGTACCCCCTCGAAGCTCCTCTCCCAGCACAGGAGCACCCACGCCCGGCCCCACCCAAGGAGCCCACCTTTGAAGGCATCATCAAGGTCTTCCTTGCCAAAGACAACCCCCAAGTCATGGATGGCGCAGGTGTGGAACTGCACACGGAAGATGACGTCGCGGGCCGGGCTCCGGAACTTCTTGTGGTAGCACTTCAGCTGGGAGGGGCGGGGGCAAAGCCAGTCAGGGGCCTGAGGATGGGAAATCAGCTCCCAGGGAGCCTCTTTTTCAGACCCACTGACTGAACCCCCAAGGCTCGCTCCAAACCCAGGGAGGGAGAGATCACCAACACCAAACAGCATCTCAGAGCTCTGTGGGGAAGCTTCTAGAATAGCAGAGAGTGGGAGGCCAGTCTTGACCTTTGGGGACAAAACTACGCTTCCAAGAAGTTTCTGCATACAAGTCAGAATGGAGAAAGTAAGAGTGGATTTAAACTGCAGCAGGAAGGACTGAAGTTAGAATTGAAGGAGTCCTTGTCACCGACAGGAAGCCAGAAGGTAAGAACTCACAGTGAGTTCCATTTTCTGGGGATGGTCCAGGACAAAAGATAAGCCCAGGGGAGAGGACAAGGACTTCCTGGGCTGGACAGTCTTGCAGGAGCCCTGAAAGCCCAGGGTTCCAAGTCCAGCACCCCACCAGGAAGGAGCAGCTGTCTCATCCTGAGAGGCAGGAGGGAGCAGGGAGAGAAAAGAAGGAAGAAAAACAAGAGAGGGTCAGGCACTCACCAAGATGTCCCCCTTCAAGAGCAGCCCTGGCTCGATGGTGATGCAGACGCTGGTCTGGCTGTCCCCTGGGATGTTGCTAAGGGAGAGAGACGGGCAGAGAAAGAGAGGGCGCTGGGGAAGGATGTTTTCTCCCCACTCCTCTCTGCCACAGGGTTACTAGGAGCCCTCACTGACTTGGTGCCTTAAGCCTTTGTGAGAAGAAGAGGTTCTAGGCAGCCTCCCCACGCCCTGCTCTGGTCCTGAGCCTTGGGACTTGGGCATCCCTGGCCTCTGGTGCCCATGGAATACTCACTAGATGCCAGACGTGTAAACAGGTTGCATGGCCTGGTAGATGCGGAGAAACGGCCGGCACCCTATAAGGGAGGGGGGTGTTAGCTAGGACAGCGGAAACCCTGGCGGTGGGGAAAGGCAGAGGAGAGAGTGAAGGAAGAAAGAGAGAAAGGAAGGAATGAGGAAGAGAGGTAAGAGGGAGAAAAGAGGAAAGAGAAATAGAGGAAGCAGAAAGGGGAAGAAATACTAAGCTTTCACTTGTAAGGCGGTTTAAATTTATAAGGATAGCGCCACGTCCACCATCACTGTCCAGCAGGCATTACAAGTACCAAATCCATTTTGCAAATGAATAGACTGGGGCTCAGAAAAGTTCGGGAAGTGATACAGTTGAGACTTCAACCCAAGCCTTAGGACTACAGCTCTGGTGCTGTTTGTTTGTTTGTTTGTTTGTTTAACCACCCAAGGCTGCTTCTTAAGGGAAGGAGATAGAAGATGGGAGAGGGAGGCCAGAGGCTTGGGGCAGGTACCTCCTTTAGACTCAAAGTTGGGGATTCCATGCATGATCACGTGGTGCAGAAACAAGGGCTTGTTGTTCATTTTGATGGAGCCGGAGAGCAGGCCGCTGAAGTAATGCACGTACCTGCAGCAGGGGGAGGAGCAGCTTCAGGAGGCAGGCCTGTGCTGGTGCAGCCATCCCTGCCCTCTCTTCTCCAGGGACATTGCCCTAGGCTGCCCACCTACTCCCCCCACAACAACATGCCCCCCTGCCCACCCAGGCCTCCAGGCAGTAGTGGGCTCCATCCCAGGACAGGCTTCCCTCACTGCTTGCTCAGAGCCCCAGGAAGGAGGAGCAAGCAGGTACCACCAGATCGCCTGGGTCAAGCAGAACATCCATCCACTCGGCGTTCTCCAGCGCCCCCTGGTGTTCAACATGAGCATGTCTTTCCTGCTTCACTGCCAGCCCAGGAATTCTGAAATTCCTCCGGGACAGGCATCATTTAGCTGCCCACTACTGCACGTGGCAACCATCACACAGCTCGGACACCCTCACACCCCCACACCGAGCCCACCAAGCTTGCACTTACATTCACAGCCCCAGCTGTGCCCACAGCCCCACCAGGCCCACGACTGTCCAGCAAATAGTGAGCAAGACCTTAGTAATGACAGTTCTTTACTTTCTTTATACCAAGCTGAAGTGCACGAAGTTCCTCGGTATCAATTGTTTCATTGGTATTTGAGATAACAGGCTTCCCACCGGCATGCCTATCTCTAGGGTCAGCATCCCCCACTTCTTTAACAGAGTCTGTTGGAAGACTGGAAGGACTGGCCCACCTCCTCTCCTTCTAGACTGAGAGGGACAGTAAGGTCCAGAAAGGGTCACTGGAGTCCCAAAGACGCAGCAAACGCACACAGCCGGGAGTAGGGGCAGAGAAGGAAAGAAGTCTGGACTCCCACACATCTGCCTACACCAGACCTCAGTCCTTCCGCGGTTGATTGGTTGGCATTTCCTCCTTTTCTGATTGGCCAGAGCACACCGAGCTAGACCAATCAGAATGCATCCGGAGGCTCCGCAGGAGCGGGTGGGACCGGAACCGCAGGGCCGTGACAACGCTACCCTCCTGTCTCCTGGCCCCTTGGCCCACCTCCAGGCCTGTGGGCCTCCATCCCTGAGCCTGGGTGGGGCCGCCTCGCCTCGGACTACCCGAGCAAGATAATCTGATGGGCAGCACCAGGTCCTATTCAGGCCCCTGCCCAGCCCCCAGCCCCATTACTCAAACCGGAAACCCGGAATGGCGGGTTCCTATCAGATCCCCTGATCGCGCCAACAGGATGTGTCTGTGTGCTAGGGACAATGAGTCCAGGGGCGGGTGACAATGAATGGGGGAGTTGCAGGCAAAGCCCCTCCCATCTCACTCCCTGCCCTCCTCTCCTCCAACTACTCCACTCCCTGCAAGTGACTCTGACAAGAAGGCGGGAAAGTGGCAACGAATGCCTAGTAAACCCAACTGCTGCACTTTCACATTTGGGCACAGACAGGGACCCACCCGCAAGCAGATGCAGCAGCAGACATGAGCTGGCGGCGGGCCCAGATAATGTGCCCACACACAGAGACACCCCCAACTGCATGCAGCGTAAGCACGTGTTGAACACCATGGAAATCCCGAGAGTGAATCCCCTAGAGACCCCGGAGTCTGTAGGCCTTCACTGCTCAGCTTCAGAGATGTGACTGCTCTGCCCACTCTCTCCAAGCCGCACTGTGCCATCGTAACAGCGTGCTTCTCTAGAGCTAACCCTATCCCTCAGGGTCTAGGGCCACGCCACACCATGGCCAAGACCAGAGCCTTACGTGGTGAGTCAGCGACTAAGGCGTCGGTACTTAACCCACAGTTCTTTCCTCCCTGGGAAGACTCTAAGTGATCCTCAGCTGCTGTGTCTGGGGGCCTGGCCAGAATTTTCTGCACATAAAGACATCCAGTTTCTGATCACTGATCCAGAGGCTGGCTATCAGCTGTTGTGTGCCAATCGTGAAGTGCTGGGTTGCCTGAGGACTCCCTCATGTCTGCTTGGGCTTCCCACTGCAATGGCAGAAACAGCCTCGCTGTGCCAGCACACTTATAGGCAGCCAAGCAAGGTGGGGCTGATGGGGTGTGTTTTGTCAGCGTGGTGAGGCTAGACAGCTCTAGAATCTGCAGCTCTGGGGTCCTGTTGGCCCAATCAGTGTCCCAGGGGCCAGAAAAGCAAATGGGATGCTGTGGCTTTCAGGTCTTTGTACCTGGTGCTGTTCACTCTGCCTGGATCCTCACCCCAGACTTGCCCTTGCTGCCTTCTTCTCCCCACTCAGATGCCACCTCACGTGCCACCGTCCCAGAAGGCCTGTCAATCAGAATCGGCCCCTCTTGCCCACCCCATCCCTCTCTAGCCATCCAGACTTGTTTTGTCTTCACAGCACTTGTCACCACCTGAAATGACCTTGATTGCTCGTGTCCTTGGACGTCATCCACTAGGAGCTGAGCTCCACGAGCCCTTGCCTGGCAGACTCAGCAGCTCATGCCCAGTGCACAGAACGGCATTGACACATCACAGGCAGGCAGCGGGCCCACACCTCCGGCCACAAAAGGGGCTGAGCCTGGGTCCCATTCCCCAGGCTTCCAGTTTGGGTTTGGGTTTCCCACCATTTTGGCTGGAGCCTCCTCAAAGACCACATGGCCCTGAAACTGCCCTGTGCCTTCCTGTAGATTAGACACCGCGGAACAGCGTGTTGCCCGCAGAGCGGAATCTGCAAGACAGTGGTGGCATGTCCCAGGGCCACTGCCCTGGCCCTTGTGTTACTCAGCCTTCATGTACACTCCAGGTCTGCAGCAACTCCACACAGCCCCTGGCCATGTCCCCTCCCTCCCCAGGCTCAGGTTTCTCATCTGTAAAAGGGGGTGCCCTCGATCGCCACACGGCAGCTCAACATTATTCCAGTTTGGGCCCAGTTTGCCTCTGAGAGGTGCTTCCAGGCCATCCCCATTAAAATGGCCCAGGCCCCCCACCGGCTGTCCTCTCTGCAGTACCCTATTCTTCTTCCCCAGCACTAGTCGCTATCAGACATTGTCTTGTTTGTGTGGTTACTTGTTTAGCCTCCATATCACTCAACAGACCATCAGCTCACTAAGCGGAAGAACTTTGTCCTGTTCACCTAGACATCTCAGTGCTCAGCTATAGTAGCGTACCCACATTTTGCTGAATGAATGAATGAATCCATCCTTGCCCCGCTTCCTGCCTGGGCTATTGTGAGACTCCAGTGAGACCACCTGGTAGAAAGCTCTTAATAAAATTTTTAAAACTCTCCCAACCAGAGGTAGCCCTTATCGTCTCTGTGTCCTCCCTAGGGCAGGTGGAAGTAATGTCAGCGTCTGTAGACTTATCCAAGAACTAAAGCAATCCTGCCACCCAGGCCAAGAATAGTACATACACCTTCTTACCCTAGACTCATGCTTCCCCACGATGGCCCCACTGCTTTCCAGCACGTGCCAACCTGCCCTCCTGTGTCCCTGAGCTCACACCACCCCAGGCTGGCATCTGAATATACATACTTGGTACACTCCCACCCAGGCATGGCTGTCCTATCTTCTGTGGGTACACAAGTCTAGTCCCTGTGAGCAGCAAGCACACACGTATGCACTGGGCCACGAGCCCCAGAGACCCACCTTCTTTGGGATGGCTGGCCAATGGGCACAATCTTATCCTCATAGAATCGCTTCATTGCAAACCGGTCCAGAGCCTGATCCGCACTGTGGGAAGACAGGTGGTCAGAGGAGCCAACTCCCATGTCCAAGGGCCCCTTGTCCTCCTGCGCCTGCTCCCCCAGACCTGCAGAGCCCTCCAGCCTGCCCTTGTCCTGGTGGGAGGACAAGCCTCTTCCCCTAGTCATCCTGTGCTGAGAAGCTTCAGGAAAAGTGTGCTCCAGCACCTCTCTATCCTGGTGGTGCAGCACTTACATGGGGAGGCTTTAGAGCCAGACAGCCTGGGGGCCACCCCAGGGCTGCCACTTAATAGCCCTGTGCCTCGGGCACATTCCTTAATCTTTCAGAGCCTCATTTCCTCACCTGTCAAATGAGGGTGACAACTGTACCTTCCTCAGAGGTTATGACAGAGACTAAGTGAGGTGGCATCTGCAAAGAGCCTGGCACCGCGGGCACACAGCGGAGCGCAGGAAGTGCTCACCGTTAAGCAAAGATGAAGGTCAGCTGAGTTGCTCAAAGTCCCAAAACTACTGTCCTACTAGCAAGCCCTCCACAGAATATCCTACCCGTCTTCACAGAGCGCAGAGCGATCATTTTGAAATACAAAGACAGATCACGCAGCTCCTCCGCTCTTGGTCCTCCAGCGACTCCCCAGGCTCTTATAGTAAATTACAAACTCCTCAGCAAGGCCCACGAGGCGGCACGGCCCCGACGCCTGCCAGCCGCCCCCTCCTCCTCTCCCCTCTCCCGCTCAGCTCCACACACGCCAGCCCCTCACGTCAACCTTCCGCTTCACTCAGCCCACCAGGCTGGACCCCTAGACCTCCCATGACCTCGCCCTTCCCACCCCAGAGTCAGGTCTCTGCTCCAGGTCGCCTGGCCAAGGGGCTCCCAACCGTGCAACCCCCTGCCACTGCCTTTCTCTAGTCCCTTATCCTGTCACAGTAATTATCACCTGCTGCCACTGACGTGTCCATTCACTTATCTAACGTCCATGGGGCACAGCCTGGCCTTGCCCTCTGTGTGTCCCAGCACCCAGAGCAGTGCCTGGCACGGTGGCCGTGCAGTAATCACTGCCGAGTGACTAAACAAAGAACGAATGAGTCCCTCTGCCTCCCTGCAGAACGGGGTCAGAATGGGATTCTCACACCGGTGGCTCCTTATTCTCGCTCCAAATACCTAGGTGGGAAGAGGGCTCTGCTGGCCGGAGGCAAGGGGATGGATAAGATAACTTCCAGATGGTTCCACCAACTCAGATCCGATCCAATGTTTCTTTCTGATTCCTTCCATGCTCTCCCAGGGATTTGCCAAATAGAAGGAAGTTTGGCAAGGAAAAGTGGCCCCAGGAAGCTGGCTGCATGGGGTACTGGGTCTGCCTGCCAAGTGCCCCAGCAGGACGCCAGACAGAGGCTCTCCTCTCTCCTGCCCTCTGTCCTCAGGGTCCTGCATTGTAGTTGTGGACAGGCACCTTTCCCCTTCTGGGGGCTCCTGCACCCGTCCTCATCACTCTCATCTCCTCTGTCCCTACCTGCCCACCCCAGGGAAGGGAGATAAGAGGGGGAGGGTCACACTGTTCAGAAGATGGGAGGCTCGGGCCCCTCTTACCTGGCAGAAATGTTGCTGTAGTGCATATAAGCCGCAATGACTACTCCTATCCTGCCTCGGTTTCCCTGAAAGAGCCCCAAAACACAAAAGCCTTCATTGCTAAGGCCAGCTCTGCTGCCCCAGAGCCCACCCAGAAGCCCTGGAGGAAAGGGGACAGGAGCTGGAGACAGGGCTGTGGCTTTAAGGGAGGACAGAAGGAGGAAAAGGGAGGTAGGGGCTGAGTGTCATCCACAGCTGGGGACACAAGCTGATCCCCGCCCCTCACATGTTGGGGGTCCCTCAGGGACAGAACTGTAAGCCCCTGGAAAGGAGAATGCACACAGATAGACTTGCATGCTCACACAATCGAAAGGTACAGGCAGGTGCACACACTCATTTAAGGACACACCCAGGCATGTGCACTGCATGCACACACATGCACAAACACACACCCCAGAGCCCCCTGCTCTGACCTTATTGTGCAAAACGACGACATTGTGGGGGTCTGCGTTGAGCCACGTGTCCATGGCCTTGCAAATGCTGCAGATCTTCTCCAGGGCGGGGGTGTGTAGGTCGGGCCAGCCAAACTCCAGTACCTGCAGCCCAAGCCGTGAGTGAGAGGAGGGCAGAAGCCCTGGAGAGCCCAGCAAGCCAGCAGGAGGAGTGCACGCTGCGTGCTTATACCTGGGCAGGTAGCAGCCACTAGCTACTCGTTCCTTCTGGGCCTGGGGTCCTCCCTGTCCATCAGCCAGCTGGGAAGCAGGCTTTAAGAGGGCAAAGGCCATTGGCTCAGGCCTGGAGACCCTGCGGGAGTCTCAGGCAGGTCATGTCCCCTCTCCCAGCCTCAGTTTCCCCACATGTGTGTAACAGAGGCCTGGACCTGATGACTCCACAGTCCCTAGCACATAACTCTGATCTCAAAACATGCTGAGGACCAGGTGCTCATGCCTATAATCCTAGCACTCCGGGAGGCCGAGTTAGGAGGATTGCTTGAGGTCAGGAGTTCAAGACCAGCCTGAGCAAGAGCAAGACACCATCTATACTAAAAATAGAAAAAAATTGCCAGATGTGGTGGCGCATGCCTATAGTCTCAGCTACTCGAGAGGCTGAGGAGTGAGGCTCGCTCGAGCCCAGGAGTTTGAGGTTGCTGTGAGCTATGAATGTGCCACTGCACTCCAGCCTGGGTAACAGAGAGAGATCCTGTCTCAAAAAACAAACAAGCAATGTACTGAGGGCCCTGAGCACCAGCCTCAAGCTCCCCTCCCACGGCCAGGGGCGTCTCCATGTCCGCGGCCCTTTTCCAGGCCTGATGTGCAAACCGTCCGAGGCTCAGGCCGCAAGCACAGTCTGAGGGGCACCGAGGGCAGATCTGAATAGTGGTCCTCAGGCTCCTCAAAACCTTTCCAAGCTCACAGAACTTTGCAATAAAAGAGAACTTCCCCTTGAAAAGGCCCACAGAGCCCACCTGATCCAGCCGGTTCACTTTCAGGGCACACACTGAGGCCCAGGGAAGTCTGTCACCTGACCAGGGTCACACAGCGACGGACGCCAGAATCAGGGGCCAGGAGCAGGCGCCCACGGCCAAGCCCCACACACAGCCCACGGAGCAAGCGGGAAACACCGGCGGCAGGAACGTCTCAGGCAACGATCCCAAGTGTTTTAAATCCCCAAACTTAAAACCCCACAACTCCCGCCCCACCCCAGGGAGCCCCCGTGCTCCCCAGGGAGGGCAGTCCCAGGTCAAAAATCACCGTCTCAAGCTTTGCTTTCTGTAATTTGCATTATGGACGAACAAATGTATTATTTTCCATTTTCCAAATAACAAGATGGCACTAGAAACTTCAAATAGGCTTTTCAAACCACCACAGCACTTTCTCCAGAGATTCTGACGTGAGACCCGTGGGGAAGGGAGCCCGTCTGTTCTCATTCTCTGCCAGGCAGGGAGAAGCCCCGACCCCGAAACAGCCATGGCTCACCTTGGCGTGCAGCTTTGTGATGTCAGGTCTCCGCTCCGAAAGGTTGAACAGCTAGAAGGAGAGAAGGAAGAGACCATGAGGAGGCGGGGGTGAGGAGGGCTGGGAGGGGAGAGAGCGCCATGGCCACAGTGGGGACGGCGGTGTCCTCTCCGGCTTCCTCTAAAGAGCCACCACACAGCCGGGCAGAGCCAAGGGCCTGCCCCAGGCCAGCCGCGGGCTCCCTGCACCTCCTTGCTCTCTCTCACTCTCTCCCCGACAGAAACTGCACCCAGTGGGGCCCCATCAAACACGCTAGACCAACAGGAACCAAACCGCAGCTTCTCGGGGAGGAGAGGGCGAGCGAGGCACGCAGACACTCAGCCGCTCCCCTCCGTGAGTGGATGTCCTGATGTCCTGGCAGAGGGGACGGAACCAGTCTCAGGTCCCTCGTGCCTCTGAACACACCGAGGGAAAATCCAGCGGCGCGAAATGATACGTAGTTGGCTACCTCTGGTTTCCACCAGGTTTCTGGTGTTGACATTAGAATCTCATCCCATGAAGATACAACCCCATGGGACACCTCCCGTCAGAGGGTGCCAGCCATCCTGGGTGGCCAGCTCAGACCCCGGACATGCTTCTCCCAGCTCATGCCCTGCAATGCCTCATTACACACCATGGACTCCCCCCTCTCCAGGATTCCTGTCTCAGCCTCCGAAGGGGCGTGCGGAACTCCCCACCTCCGCGCCTCCGCCTGGGAAACTCACAGAGCACCACACTGTCTCCCGGGAGAAAAGAGGACAACCCAGGCTAGAATGGGCAGGATGGAAAGACAGGTGACAGAGCACAGAGACCCCCCAGAATCCCAGACTCCTGAAATCAGGAAGGCTCATGGCGCCTTCTAGTCCACTCTTTCACCCTATAAAAAACCACTCTCAATTATATTAACAATGGCTGCCACTCCATGAATGTCCTCCACCTGCCAGCCCCGTGCTAAGGACTTTGCATCTAACAGCTGGTTTAATTCTCTCGACAACCATAAGAGGTAGATAGTGTTACTAGGCCCATTTTACAGATGGGGAACCTAAGGTTTAGTGAGGCTAAAAGGCCAGGATCACGGAGTTAGTAAGAGCAGAGCCAGAATTTGAGCCCAGGACTTTCTGATATTTAAAGCCAGGTCTTAACCATGCCCCAACACAGCAGAGAGATCAGATGGTGGTTGAAGAGTATTCCCCCAAATTCATGTCCACCCGGAGCTTCAGAATGTGACCTTAATTGGAAATAGTAACTTTGCCAACGTAAGTGGTTAAGGATCCCAATGTGAGCTGAACCTGGATCCTGGATGGGCCCTAAACCCAATGACTGATGTCCTTCTAAGAGAGGAGCGGACTAGACCCAGGGAAGAAGGCCAGTGGAGGCGCAGCAGGCAGAGACTGGAGTGATGCAGCCACAGCCAAGGAGCTCCAAGTACTCCAGGAGCCACCAAACTCTAGCACCAGGCAAGCAAGGTTCTCCCCTGCAGGACTCAGAGGGAACATGGCCCTGCCAACACCTCGCGGTCAGACTCTAGCATCCAGAACTGGGAGAGAATGCATTTCTGTCATTTTGGGCCATCAGGTTTGAGGTACAGTTGTCCCTCAGTATCTATGCTGAGGCATTTGGTTACAGGACCCCCAAAGGTTACTGAAATCCATGGACGCTCAAGTCCCTTATATAAAATGGCACATCATTTTTGCATTTAACCTAGGCACACCCTCCTATATACTTTAAATCAGGCGTCTTCAAACTACAGCCCGCGGGCCACATGTGGGCCGCCTAGCACATTTATCTGGCCCTCCGGGTGTTTTTGCCGCCCCGTCCTGCTTAGCAGCGGACTCCTCCCGGGCCCACAGTGCGCACTCTCCAACGGTCCAAGGGACAGTGAACTGGCCCCCTGTTTAAAAAGTTTGAGGACCCCTGCTTTAAATCATGTCTTGGTTACTTATAGCACCTAATACAATGTAAATGCTATGTAAATAATTGTACCACATTGAGTATATTAATATTATTGTTTATTGTTTCTTTTCCTGAATATTTTCAACCCGTGGTTGAGTGAAGCCGGGGATGTGAAACCCGCGGATATCGAGGCTGACTGTGATTGGTGCAGCAGCCCCGAGGACCTAACGCAGCCCCTCCCTCCCAACTCAGACGCCCTGAGGGCAGCCGCTTGAGCTTGCACAGATCTAGTCTGTGGTTCCAATCCACCTGTGCCTCCCTGAAAAGTGTACCTGGGCCCTTCTCTGGGGCCAAGGGCAGGTCAGCCTTTCTACATTAGAGGAGACCTCCAAGGCTCCTCTCCCACAGGTGTTAGGTGACTCCTCTGGGCCGGGCCCAGCAAGGTGCCAGCAACATAAGGTCCCTTAAGATGCATGTTGCCACAACCCTGCCCTCAGATGCCTCAAAGGCACCGACACTGAGCCAGCTTGGCCACTTCCTGACCCTGTGACCTTAGGCAAATAGCCCCACACCTCTGTGCTCTAGCAAGACCTGCATTTAGGGCTGCAGTGAAGGTTAAGTACACAGAAAGCAGTTAGAACAACGCCTGTCTCATAGCAAGTGCTCCGTAACCTGGACTTCTGTTGTTACTCTCTTCTCTTGGTCAACACACACACACGATCACACACGCACACACGCACATGCGCACACGCGGTTCCAGCATTCCAGCTGAGACACACTCTGGAAAAGAGCTGGGCTGGAGAGTGAGTGAAGACTTAGCCCATGAGGGACGGGCAGGGTGAAGGGCAGGTGAGCTCAGGGACGAGGATGAGCTGGTGCAGGGGCAGGTGATGGGGACGCCTGCAGTGAAGGGGGGTGAGCAGATGAGCAGAGGGAGGGACGGGGGTGCTGCACGAGTGGGCGAGAGGCCCCATCCTCACCAGGTAGTTGCCTCCATGTTTGGACTTGAGCATCTGGGCCACCTCGCGGAGGTTGCTGCGGAAGTTCTCCTCGTTGGCCGTGCTGGGGAAGGAGACGGCGATGATCCGCTCTGTGACATACACCAGGTCCAGCTCACAGCTGTCCTCCATGGTCCGGCTCACACTCATGTTTCTAGGGAGACAGCAGGCAGTGGAGGGGCCAAATCAGAATCCAGCACCCCAGGGCGCGCCCCAGACATCTGCATGCCCTACACACCATGCGTGAGCCCATGTGTGGTCCGGGGCCAAGGCCAGAGGCTTCCCCTGGCAAGGCCAGCGCTGCCGGCCCGGGAGCGCCAGAGAGAACCAGCTGGGCAGGAGCCAGCAAGGACCTCAGACCGTTTCAGAACCAAACCGTGACAACATCAACGCTGAGCTCCTGTCAGTCCTTTGTGACTCCAGCGCTCAGAGCCAGGGCCAGACTGGCCAGGAACCCAGGAGCCCAGCCCTGCCTCCCAGCCCCTGCAGCTGCCCGGCCAGGCAGAAGTCTCCCGAAGGACCCCGGAATGATCCGGAAGAGGAAGGAGAGCCAGCCTGGGTGCTCTCCAGCACCCGGTAGCCGAGCCTTCCACTGCCCTCCCCTGGCTCTCTGTGCAGTGGGCCAGAGGCCCCTCAGGGGAAGGGGGCAGCTCAGGTGACATGCTCACCTGGGTTCCAGGTAAGCCAGACCACAGCACGCATTCCAGCCCTCCCAAGGCAGGCAGCCTCCTGCCCTTTGTTCCCTGGCTGTCTCCCCACCTCTGGCTGCTCACACTGCCTGCCAGAACTGCTTGCTGGCAACCGCCTCCCGATTTCTAAGGGCTCAGGGAACTCGAGGGCACCGAGTCTCTGCCGCCGGGGTGGCAGGCGGCCCCAGCACCATCTCTGTTCCCGGGAGAGACGGGAGCCCTGGACTGGGCAGCTCGCCCTCTACTGGGCACTGGGGGAGGGGAGGGAGGGGCTCACATCTTTACATCTCTCCAGACTTTTCCTCCCAGGAAGGGTCCAGGACATGCAGTGGGGAAGCCCACGTGCCACTCCTGGAAGCACATCTACCCTCCCCACCCCCACCCTTCTCACCCCTTCACCAACCTCCCAGTGTCTCCTTCCCTCTCTACCACGGCGGGCAACCTCACATTCATTTTGCTAACCCTTCCCTGTGGAGGATAAGGTTGACATTGCAGGGGAACAGGAGGGGGGACACTGCCAAGGTATCTAAAAGTGATAGGGGGTGGAGTTCTCAGGCACTAGAGTACCAGCCCCAGGACACCAAGGAGCCTAGAAGAATCCAGACCTCCATCAGGGTTAAATCCTAGCCCAGCTTGTATAGGGGTTTGGGGCGTGGGGGCTTGGGGGCATGGCCGAGTGTGACATACAGCCTCTGGTGGGAGGACAGGGGCCTGAGCAGGAGAGGGAACCAGGGCTAGGGGTAGGGAGTCTGGTCTGAGTTTGACTCTGAGCCCCTCGTCCCTATGGTAAGCTTCTCGCTGCAGCCATTGGGGTGTGGCTCCTACCTCGGGCCACCGCCTGCCCAAGGACAGTTCTGCAGGTGATGCTCAGCCTGGGACAAGAAGCCACACACATGTGCCCCAAGAAAACAGACATGAGAGGACCTCAGCTAACTTGGAGCAGCCCCTCTTCCCCCTCTCCAAAGTCCCTCTTTGTCCTGGCTCCAAAAAAGAGCCAGAATGTCAGAAATACTTGCAAGCTGAGCTCCCATGGTTCCAGAAAAATTTTCAAGCCGGCTCCCATGCTTCCAGCCTCTCACGGGAGTGAGAAGGGACGTGGTGAGGGGCTTGAGTCAGACGTGGCCCATCCTGGGCCCTGGCCTGCCCCTGTCCTCAGGCTGGTTCCGGGAAGGATGCAAAGGCAGAACCAGGCCCCCAGCTGGACAGCCTCAGCATCGCGCTATGCTCCCACCCACACCAAGGCTATTCTTAGCTGTGGGGAAGGGGAAGGAGAAGGTCCTCTGAGAGCCACCTCCAATCCGTGGGCAGCTGGCAGCTGGGCCACAACTGCCAGGGACCTCAGCTGCATCCCAGGGCTGGCATTCCTGCTGGACTCAGGAGCCTCAGTGGCTGAAGGGGAGGCAGAGAGGGAGGGAGCCAACAGACCCTGGGTGGGCAAGGCACAAAGTCCCCTGTGCACCCTACCCCCTGCCCACCAGCCAGCTAGCTAGAGAACTTCCTCTGCATCATCAGAAAACCCCGTCTGCAGAGAGGAATGAGACCCAGAGCAGGCCTGGTGCCCACCAGTTCTGAATGCAAATGCAAGCACTGCCTCTTTGTGGTTGTGTGATCTTTAACAAGTCACCTCGTTTCTCTGAAACTCAGTTTCTTCATCTGCCAAATGGGAATAAGACCCTTACCTTGCAGAGCTGTTGCAAGAACCAGAAGAGCTCACACAGAGAAAGAGTCCAGCACAAGGCCTGGCTTGGAGCTCAAAGCGTGACCATTGTCAAGTGCACCCCTGCATCCTCTCCTGCAGCCTCACATTTGCCCACACTCCCTGCCCATGGCTTCATGGGGGACCCAGAGGCAAGACTTGACAGTAACACCCACAGTGGCCCCACCACCTGCACCCCCACTCCTGCCGCGTGGGCCAGGCCTACCTGATGGGCAGGGGATGAGGCTGGACGCTCGGGATGACCCTGGTGGAGCCCTGGGAGAGAGAGAGGAGAAGCAGCGTTACACAGAGGCAGGCAGGGCAGCGGCAGGGAGCTGTCCCCGGGAGCAGCGAAGGCCATGGCCAAACATGACTCGCCCTGCCCTGCAACCACCCGAAGCCAAAGCAACAACCCCAATTCCACGTGAGCATGCCTGCCTGCCCCAGAGCGACGAGGGAAGAAATCCCAAATGCTGAGGCGTGCGCCCCACCTGGTGGTGCCCTCTGCACTGAGAACACACTCAGCGGTTACTGAACCGATGAAAACACGTCACCCGGATTAACTGGCTGTCGCAACAGTAACCCCAAGTGGAGGATACACACTACAACCATGAAAGAACTGGCAGATGAGAGTGACAGTGACCCTCAGTCCAGCCCTGAAGCTGTCTTCCCCGACCACTACAACCCCACATCCCACTGTGAAAGCAGCAACATGGAGTCTTCAATCAGGTTTTGAGATGGGAACAGCTGGATGTGTCATGCAGGAAGCGAAACGAGGTCTAAGGCAGTGAGCCACGCTCCTGGGACCCGCTGCCACTGTCCGTGACCCCGTCTCGCCCACTCCACGTCCACAGCTGTCGACCTGTACAAACAGGCAGATGGACTCAAGCTGGTGCCCAGAACATCCCAGGGCAGCAGGATGATCCAGCGGTGAAAACACAGGATCAGAACCCCACAGACCCCAGAGTCTGGATTCCAGCATCCCGCTGGGCAAAACTGCCAGTCACTTAAGCCCTCTGAGCCTCTTATACTGTCACATGTAAAATAGGACAACCCTCAGAGGCTTGCAGTCAGGATGCAAAGGAATTATGCATATAAGGCACTTTGCATATACCTGGCATTCAATAAATGACAGCTATTGTTTCTTGGTGCTATGGTATCAAGTACAATTAAAAGGGTAGTTACTTAGAGGGCAGTTACAACCAAACACTCACCTCTATGGAAAATCAAAACCCTGCATCTGTTCTACCACCAGCAGCCGCCCCATCCTTCCAGTCACCTCACAGGAGGCAGAATCAGGACACCCAGCTTCTAGATTCCCAGGCCCAGCCTGAGCCTCTGAACCCATCCCCACCTTGCAAACACCTATGTGCCTCCCAGAACCCAGCGTTTCCCAGCCATCAAGTTGCAGCTGCTTCTTGGAAGAGACAGGGCCACAATCTGCCAAAGTGGGGAGAAACTGAGGCATGGAGTAACTCACCGCTGGTCCCTGGGAAGTTGATGCCAGGCAGGGTTCACACCTTCACCTGGGGCTTGACCACTGGAGCCCCAAGAAGAAGATTCCCCCCCTTAAGCCTTTCCTGGGCTGGCAGCACCTATGAGGCAGGGCGGGTGGGCTCTGAGGCTCGGCTCTCAGCGGAGCCCCAAGTTAGGGCAGCTCCCCTAGGAGGACGCTCCATCCAGCCACCCAGGAGAAGGCGCTGCGGTGCTCTCTGTCTCTGCGGCCCCGCGCTCTGACCAGCGCAGCGGCGGCGTCAGTGGAGAGAGGAAAGAGCCAAGTGGGGCTGTTGGGGCGGGAAGTTTCTCGGTCTCCACAGCTCTTCTGGCCCCAGGACTTGGGTTTGCATGAGTCAGGGGGGGCGGGATGGGGGGAGGCCAAGGGGTGGTTGTGTTTGTTTTCAAGCCCAAAACCAGACCGTTCCAAAACTACCGACCCAGAGGAACGCAGAAACCCAACACTTCATCCATCTCCATCGCACTGGTCCCTGATGAGGAGTCCCTGACTCTCCCCAGGCCCAGGGCCCTGCTCCAGGCCCAGGGCCACCCTGCTATAAATAGCCCCTGGGGTTGCATCTGTTGCTGATCCACAGCCACTTTTGGAGGAAGCCACCACAGCTGCTTAGAACAACTGGAAGCCACAAGCATAGCCAAGGCGAGGTGTGGCCGGAGCACGGGACCAGACCCCGGGGGGCTGGAGGGAGACAATGGGACACATTGAGACGGGCTGGGCTCCGCAAGGGAACTGGGCGAGGGGAGCTGGGAGCCTGCGAGGGTGCAGGGGTAAGAAGGGCAAGCAGGACAGGAGACCTGGCTCCCGCTTCTCCCCCGCCCTGTTCCAAACGTTACAACACTCCGCATTCCTCAGCCTCCCCACCCCAAAAAAGCCGAGGAAGATAAATAAAAACTTGGCCCAAACAGAGTCTGGCCAAGCTGCCTCCAGAGGTGATAAGGCAAAGTCCAAGCCCACTCTGCTCCACCGGGCGGGCCCAGGGAGGGGAGGCAGGGGGAGGAAGCTGCCCGGGACAGTGACCCCACTGCAGAGGCTGGGGGACGAGCAGCTGGACTGTCAGCCCCTGATGAATCACTGGGCTGCCCTCGAACTGACGGGGCTTCCTGTTTTCTGCAGTCTGGGGGCATGTGACCCTTGCTGGCAGAGAGCAGACATGCACGGTGACACGGCTGAGTGTTGGTGCACACAGGCCCACGGGGAGAACTCGGGGAACAGCCAATGGGCTAGAGCAGGGGTGGCATGTGAGCAAACAACTCGCATGCTCCAAAAAACACAGGTGACCTCACACACGAGGCTAGAGACGGGCGCCTTTTGAAGCATGCCCAATCACGCAGGCTTTTTACAAGAGGGTGGGAGTGAGGCAAGGCATCTGGTCATTCCTGGACCTCCAGTCTTTGTGCTCATTCCCTCATTTGGCAAATATCCACCAAGTGCCGCCGGCTGTGTGCCTGGTCACGTTCTAGGCACCAGGGGACCAAGGAGGTGAAGTCCCTAACCTCACAGAGCTTATACTGTATGGGCAATGATACTCATCAACAGGCCCTGTGAGGAGTAGAGGCTCAGTCTCATTTACCCATCTGTAAAATGGATAGAGCACAGTGCTCAATGGTTTCCTACGTAATCCACTTACAGCCCCTAGTGAGAACTACTACAAGACTTTACAAACTTTATTTTAAAAAGAAAAATAAGCTCTCTGCCTTAATCCCACTCTTTTCCTCTCTGGGGAATTCAAGAGGAAACATGGCTTTGAACTTCCTCCTAGCTCCTCCCAAGAAAGATCAGTAATAGAACTTTTAATTCAGCACTCTAGACATCAAACCGAACCCTCTCCTATCCTCACCTCTAAAACATAGTCTCTCCTTTGCTGAAAGAACACCATGAAATGAGAGTCCACAGCCTCCCCAAAAACAGTGTCTCACTTTCTCACTGTCAGGAAGTTCTTCCTGGTATCTAGCCCTTATCCTTCCTGCTGCAGATTCAGCCAACTCTTTTTGCCTTGGTCCTCACTGCAGGCAGGAACGGATCATCAGTCACACATCCCTGGGTGGCTCAGGGTCTATGACCCTAGGTCCCGTTACTTGCCACCTTCCTCACCGCCATGCCACAAGGAGCAGCCACCTCGCGCCCCGCCCCACCCCCACCCCCGCCGGGCCTTGGGTGCGGCTGGTTTGGAGCCGAGCCTCTGTGGGAAGAGTCCTGCCTTCCTTTAAGGTCCACAGACCAAACACAACAGCTCTGGACCAAAAGAAAAGCTGTTTCCTGAGGCCAAGTCCCCAGGGGGGCACAGTGGGGAGGAGGGTCTGTAAGAGAACACCAGGGGCCGTGTCAGGCAGCCGAGACCGACCGGTGACCAACCTACGTCAGGGGCCCAGCCCCATTCCTACATCTCCTCTGGGGGCTGCGGCCAACCTCCCCCCCCCATCCCAACCCCTCCAGCCACACCCCTTCCTCTCTCCTTCCTGCCCACCGGCCTGGATTTTTCCAAAACAAAGTGCGACACAGCACACCATGCACAAACTCCACCACACGCCAACCCTGTCAAAGGAAAACAGCCATTCCTGCCTGTGAGTCCTGGGCTGCGGGCCAGAGGCAGGAAAGCAGCTCGACAAACAGGCACATTACCGCAGCGGCAGGCCCAGGGCTGCAGCCCTGCTGCTTGGAAAACAAGTCCTCCTCACTCGGGTTGCCTGCAGAACAGCCCAGTGGCTGGGCAGGGGACCGACTCAGCGACCCGGCTCACCCAACCTGAGGCCGGTGACAGGAGCCTTCCTTTGCCGTACTCAGGCCATTGTGGAACCTGCTCACCTGCTTACCTTTCCAAAACTCATCTTGTCCCTCCTTCCATATCCAAACAAGACACCCCCTTTGCCACAGAGACACATTCAGCCCAGATCACCAAAACTTTCTTCTAAAAATACCAAATAGCCTCCAGTCACAACCAAACACCTACCTCTTTCTTCCCTACGACCAAGGTCATACACACGCTTACAGGCAAAAGTTCTTCATGGTGTCTATCTTCACTCTCTCTTGCTGTGGCTCTAGTTTACGGGATCTTTCTGGCCCAGGCTGGGGACATGAGGCAGGGAGCAGGGGAGGCAGCTCTAAAACTTGACTCCTAAGTGTGCTCAGACCATTGGCTAGAAAGGCTTGGTTCACACGCCATCACTATCCCCCGGCCAAGGGTTAGGAGTCCTGGATAACACCAGATCCAAGCAGCGGGTCCAGAGGATGCAGCAGCATTCCTGGAGTCATCCTGCAACTCTAAGCCTCAGTTTCCTCATCTATACAATGGGGTCACAGCATCTGCCATACAGGAGTGCCATGAGGATCTAAAAACGCCCAGCCTAGTCCCCGGCCCTTAGTCAAAATAGCAGGAATAAGAATGGCTAACATTTATTGAGCACATATTACGTGCTTTGAGCGCCCTAAGCTAGTTCATCCTCAGTAGCAGGCACGCAAAAAATCAGTTTTCCCTGTACCCCAGCCCCAGAAATGTCACAACCCCGGACAAGGACCCCCGCCCCGACATGAGTGCTCTGTGCCCGCAGGAACCCCGGCGTACCTTCAACAGCGCCTTGCCCGCTACTTTGAGAGGCATGCTCCCTGCCACTCCTGGAGGGGCCCTCAGGACGCCTCCACTGTGCAGGGCTGGTGTGCAGGGCTGCCCGGGGCGCCGCGACAGTGGCCGTGGGCTCACCACAGGAGCGAGGCTGCCTGCAGGAGCTGCCCCTCCGCTCCCCCTGCACCTCCCTCCAGGGCCCTCCCCGCCCGCCGTGGGTCAGGCAGCTGTCAGATGATAGGGCCTCGTGCCCTCAACAGCTCCCCCCACCCCTGTGCCAACCGCCAAAACCACTCCCTGTTCCTCTGCGGACCAGGAGGGTGGGGATGGAGGGGCCGCCCAGGGCACACTGTCGCAGAGAGCAGGGAAGAAGGGGAAGCCGCTTTGCCAGGGGTCTGCCCCTGGGGTTTGCAGAAGAGCCCAGTCATAAGCACGGCTCAACGCTGGTCCTGGCAGAGGCCCCTGTAACCTTCTGTGGGGTCCTTATATTTAAGGAAGTTGCCCATTTGCCGCCCCCACATGCAGGCAGGAGGAGGCCAGGGGGACTGGCTAGCCCATCTCCCAGCTTCTTCCTGAACCAATGCCATGGAAGCCACACAGAGCCATTGGCCATTTCCAAAGACTCCTGTCTCCAGAGAAACAGACCCTGCAACTTCCCCAGGGTCTAATGACCCCCTAAGAGCCCAGGGGTCCTTCTCCGGCTCACCCTTGGTCCCTCTCACTGTGGTTTCGCCCACTTCCTTACCCTTTCCGCAGCTGCTCCTAGCTGCCCTCTCTCCTCCCTCCCCACCCGGGGGCATGGAGGTCCGGCAAAGGCATGGACGAAGGAGCTCTGGATCCAGCTCAGATGGAGGCCAAAGCCAAGACCGAGGCCCAGCCCTTAAGTCAACGGCCTGCTTGCAATCCGGCCCCGCATGCCGAGTGACCCTGCCCAGCCCACTAGAGAGGGGTAAGGGAGCCCCACAGAACTGGACAGGTCTGAGACATAACCCACCTCCCACCCGCTCCCCCTGGCCACCAGGGGCCAGCCACATCCTTCTCCCGCCAACGTCCAACTTACGTCGTCCTCCAGGCTTTTCCGTGTGTTTCCACCCCGAGAGGCTCCTTCTCCCTGTGGACAGAGAAGAGGGAGTCAGGAAAATAATCACAGGACACCCAGGCCTCCCACCTGCCGGGTTGGTCAAGGGGGGTAGGGGCAGGGAGAAGTTGGCAGAAAGGCCTAGAAGGGAACTCTGGTTTCTGTTTAACATTTCTTTGTCCACTAAGAGCCCCTCAGAGGTAGCCAAGCCCTCTTGTTTGCATGTCATGACCATTCCTGTGGGAGATACTATTATTCCCATTTTGCAGATAAGAAAACTGAGGCTCAGACAGGCTCATGTCTTGCCTACAGTTATACAGTTAGAACCTAGAAAGAATTAGGATTTTAACCCAGGTCCTCCAACTACAAGCCCGTGATTTCATGCTGGCCATTGCCAGGAGACGTCTATCAGCGGCTAACCTCAGTTTCCCCCCTACAGGACCCACCACTTTACTCCCCTCCTCTTCCATGCGGCCTTGAGAAAACTGTCCGTCTCTCTGCAGGTCAGAAAGATATTTGGAAAAAGCTGCCCAGCTTTCCCGCATTCTGCATATTTAATTAAAAAGCCCACATCGAACCACTGGCCTCCTCCTCTCTCCCTGCCTAGCTCCTCAGCGACCCATCCCTGAACACACAGAGACAGATGCCTGGTGTCACTAGCACTACCGCTTCCCCACAAGGTCCCCAAATCTACCAGAAGGATGCCCCAACCACAGAGGCTCACTTTCCTCCAAATCCAGCCTCCACTTTCCATCCTCCTTCCTTGCCCAGGCTGTTCCCGGCCCCGCCCCCCCCGCCACCACTCACCGTGTCCACTACATTCTTTGGTACAGTCTCCGTGGTGATGGGCTGTGGACAAAGGCAGAGACAGCATGAGCCTCGGGGCAAACAGCCCCGGGACTGGCTCTCTCCCCAGGGCTGGTGGCCGTGATGGGCAGAATGCCCCCGAGACTCAGACATAACCCAGCTGGCTCCTCATGGGCGACAGAGTTTGGAAAATGAAAAACAATCTTAATAGCACTAGAACCATCCAGTTCTGCAAGCTTCCCCCAAGGACCCACACTCAGCGCCCGGCACTGTGCCTCTTGTTAATTCACTCAGCCCCAGACCCCTCCAGAAGTGACAAGGAGCAACTTACACTGTCTTGTTCGTTCACGACAAGTATCCAGGGAGGTCGGTACCATTATAACCTTTTAGCCCAGTTTACAGATAAGGAGAAGTTAAATGAGTGACCCCAAACCACCTTGGGGTGAGCAGCCTGCCGGAGTCCTAGCACCCAGCGGCTTTCCAGGCTGCCCGCCCTTAGGCCACCCTGCATCAGGGCACAAAGGCCCCATCAGACCTGGCCCCAGGCCCTCCTAGCTTATTCCCACATCCACGCCCTGGCTTTCAGAATGGCTTCCCCTCTTCTCCTGAATGGAGGGGTCTACTCCTCCACGAAGCCCTTCCTGACCACCCCGCCAAGTGATGAACCTCTCCCTTCTCTGAACTCCAATCAGCTTCACTGTCTTTGCCACTTACCTGGTCCTTGGTGTATGTGTCATCTCATTGTGGGAATATACATCTTATTTCCCCAACTACTGTTTTACTTATGATTTCTGTCCCACCTTCAACCAAAATAGATTCAAAGCAACATTTTTATCAACTCATTGGAAAACTCCCTCTCCAGGGACCGTGGTCTATGTGCAGCGGGCACCAATTAACCACTGTTGACGGATCCTGCGCCTCACCCTGAGGCCGTCCTTCCTCTGCCCAGACCCCCAGAAGCGCTTCCCAGGAAAGGTATTCGCAAGGTGGGCTCCTCGGGCCCCTAACAGGAGGAGAAACTGCCTATCCCAGGTCTGCCCCTGGAGCAGTCTCCAGGGCTCCGCTTCCAACTCAGCGAAGTGGCCACAGGGCCCTCGAGTGGCGCAGAAGGACGTGAGCACGACGAAAGGTGGTGAAACAAACCTTTGCACAGGTGAGCGCAAACAGGGCTTAGGGTCTTGTCTCAGAACACGCAGCGTCTGCCCCCAGCCCCAGCCCCGAGCCTGAGGGATGAGCTGCTTGTGTCTGAAGACAGGGGAGTGGACGCCATGACCTCTGGAAGGTTGGGCACCGGGAGCAGAGGTGGGCCAAGATGGACAGGGAGGAGGAGCGCAGGCTGAGCCGAAGGTAGCAGTGCTCTCTCCGGAAATGCCCGACTCATCTACCCGACTGCCTGGAAGACAGGAGGCTGAGGCCAGACCTCCCTCCAGGGCATGGAACTTCCGGAGCAGTTCAGGGCCAAGGCAGCCTGGGATGGTAGATTGGGGATGGGGTCCAGTCCAAAGAAGGGGGTAGGGGAGGCACATGGGCCCACCCCTCCTACTCCCCCCTCCCTGTATACCTTCCTCTCTCCACCTGGAGCCCGAGGATGGCTCTGGAGGAGGAGTAAAGATCCACATTCTGCCCCCTCCCCAGTCAGCCCCAATCCTGACCCCTAACCCACTCGCCTCCCGGAGTCCCACTTCCCAGGCCCCAGACCACTGGGCAGAGGGCAAATGGGCCCACCAGGAAATTCCCAGGGGTCCCTGCCCCAGGCTGAGGAGTGAGCCCTGTGCTCTTGGAGCCCCCTTCAGCCTCCAACAACCACCCAGCCCCCCCATCCCTCTGCTGGGAGGATCCCGTCCTGGCAGGGGGGGGCTCTACAGCAGTGTGAGCCCACTCTGCCCCTCTCCACCCCTCTCCATCCCCCGCCTGTCTCTTCCTGTCCAGGGCTCCGGCAGGCTCAGGTGGAGACCCTGGGTTGGGCAGGATGGCCCCACTGCCTGCCCTCTGAGAGCTCTGGTCCCCTGGGGGGAGGAGGGGACTGTGGCAGCAGATCACAGGTGCCTTCCTGCACAACACCTACCTGGCAGAACTGAGGTGCAAACCCAGATCTCCCAACCCCAAAGCCTTCACAATCAACCTGTCGGCCACCCAACCTCCCATGAATGGACCAAAATGGAGTGGGATAGATGTGTTGGAGACTAAGTACCTGCTCCAAGCTCACTCCAGCCCCCAAAGAGCCCCTCCACCTCCTCCAGGTAAAGATTCCAAACAGGCCTCCACTCTCAGCAAAGAGAAAGCCAGGTGGTCTCAAGCTTGCTCGGGCATCAGAGCCACCAGGGGACTGTTGCCACGCCGGTGCCTGGCCCTGCCCCAGAGGTTCTAAGTCAGTGAACCCTATGGTGGGACCCAAGAATGTGCATTTCTTACAGGTTACCAGGTAATGCAGGTCCCAGGTCACTCTGAGAGCCACAGGGCTGAGCGAACGGGCCTTGGCAGCAGGTCCACACACTGACTCTCAGCTGCTACCTTCCTGTGCAACCTTGAGCAGGTCACTCTGTCCTTGCTGCTCCTCAACGGGACTGCACAGGGTTATTTGGCGGAGATCAAATGAAATAAAGCACATAACGCACTTAGGACAGTGCCTGGTACACAGGAAGCTCTCAGTGCATATGAGCGATCGTTATTATTTACTGGCTCCACCCTTGGGGCGGCACCTACATGTCCCCAAGGCCCGGGCTGCCTCTGGCCCACCCTGCCCCACCCCTCCTGGGTCTGGCAGGGTGCAGACAAGGGAGCTGGAGTCAATATTAGAAACCACAGGCCTCAGCAGTGCAAGAGAAACTTTCTCTTCCTGCCAGCGATCATCTGAGCACCATCCCCTTTGCCCCTGCCCTCCCCTGCGCCAGCTGGAGGCCCGCCACAGGGCAATGCTTGCCAGCAATCAGACGCCTTCAACTTACTGGTTGAGATGCTTTCCGAGGAGCTAAAAATTTCCAAAACCCCTCCTGACCTAAACACCCGAGTTATCCTGCGGAGTTTGCAAACACAGCCCAGCACGCATGCTGCCCTCCCCTCCCCCCCCCCATTCTCCTGGGACTGAAGTCCTATTGCTCTGCCTCCCAACCACTGCCAGCATACTTGGAAGGAAAAAGGCAAGGGACTGGTAACATCAGGGCAGGGTCCCTTGAGGCAGCCGGGCTGGGGCCATAGAGAAGCCCCCTGGGCCACCGGGAGCTGTGGCCACCTGAGGCAGCAGCCCCAGAGCTCCGATGGCTGGCACAGACCCCCTCAGCCCTGACTGTCACTGTACTTTCAGCCCCAAAATCCTCCCCCCACACACACACACTTTTACCCTTTCCCTGGCTTATTTTTCTCCTTAGAACCCACCATGCTCCAACGCACTATGTATTCACTTGCTTGTCTCATTGAGTCTGTCTCTCCCACCAAAATGTAAGTTCCATCTTCCCCTCAGAGCCCAGAACAGTGCCTGGCATGCTGTAGGCCCCCCAAAAATGCCTGTCGAGTGAGTAACCGAGCAAGCTCTCGCACTGTCTCCCCGACGCCCCACCATGCTCAACATGATGCAGCCAGCACCCCTGGGACCCTCTGGAACCAAAGCCCTGACCACCATCTTTGCTTAGTGTTTGGTCAGGACCTTTCTACACCCACCCACACAACACACACACACATTCACACAAACACAACATCCTTGCACACCATTCCCCAGAACATCAGCTCTGAGGGACTTGTTTCACAGGTGGGAAACTGAGGCACAGAGAGGTCTGATGGACGTGCTCAGCCCCTCATGGCAAGGTGCGTGGCAAGACAAGGGCTGGCTCCCAGGTGTGTAGAGCCCACTGTCCAGGCCCTTGGTCCGCAGCCGGCCCGCAGGCAGGGTTAGCTGGCGCCTCCTGTGGGCTCTTCTCGGCCTTCCCCTCAGTTGGCAGCAGCAGGAGGGAGCAGGTGGAGCCCAGACAGGGACAGCACCTCCGTCCGGCCTGGAGCATGGTCCCCAGGCTTTCCAAAGTGAGGGCAGCTACTCTGCAATCCTTCCAGAATCCCCCTTCCCTCCGGGCAGGACAACTCAGACTCCAGCTCGGGAGCAGGTGGCAGGGTTTCCACCTAGCACTTCCTAAGAGCCAAGCCCTGCTCTTCATGGGCCACTCTGCCCTAGAGTCCCAAACTAGGGTGTCTGGGGCAAGGCAGGGACCAGGGTGCAGCACTTTGGGCACAAAAAGTAAGCAGCCATCACTCTCAGGCCCTGCAAGTGCACCTGACAATCCCGAGAGCGACGCGCCCCCCCCCCCCAGATCTTGTACCACGGGAGCCTCACTGTCCCCACTCCAGTGCCTGCTCTGGCCTGGAGACACGTCCTCCTACAGTGAGTGCAAGAGCAACTACTCATTAGGTGCTAGCAGGGCCCTGGACACAGCATCAGGCTCTTTGCTTTCCCTGTCATCAATCCTCATAACCACGCTGGGGGGAGCATTACCCCATTTTACAGTTGAGGAAACTGAGGGCCCAAGAGACTAAATGACTTGCCCAAGGCTACACAGGCAGTCAGCAGGTGTCTGAACCTTGCTCCTCTCAGCCCCCAGGCTATGGCTCCTCTCCCTGGCAATGACCTTTAATCAGCTCCTGTCACTCCGAACCAACTGCCCTCCTGTCGGGAGCAAGTTTTCTGACAAGGGACGGCTATCTATAGCGGTCCCTGTGCCCCAGGCCTCAGGAGAGTCTTCCTCACCGCACTCCCACAGGAAGAGCAGGAACTGGGCTGCAGCAGGAGAGACCAAGATCAGACAACAGAGAGAACCGCCTGAATTTGAGGGGTTGTGTGCCCCAGCGTGGACAGGGAAGCTGCACATCCTTTCCTCAATTTTCTTTTTCCAAAAACTGACAAGCATGGCCCCTCTACACAAGCCTGTACCCTCCTCCATTGTGCGGCCCCAAAGAGGGGCCAGGATGGGAGGGGTGGCTGGGATGACTGCCTAGAGGCTCATGCAGTAGGACACGTTGGTGGCCTGCAAGGAGGGTGGGCTGGGAAAAATGTCTCTGTA